TCAGCACCAGCCCATGGAAAGTGTCCTCTGATAACCCTGGGGCTCTCATGGGCTGTTCTCAACTCCTTCACCTCTTGGGCAGTGATTCATTCATTCATTCATTCATTCATTCATTCATTCATTCATCTATCCGTGTCACACTGTGGTTACTGAGAGCTTTGTAAGCACTTGGCCCCAGGCCAGGAGCAGGGAATACGGCTATGAGTGAGGCAACCATGGTCTCTGTTGGAACTCGCTTTGGATGGGAGAAGCTCGGTGGCACAGAGATGCAGCATTTGTAGTGCTGAAGTCTCAGAGTAACAAGGGGCAAAGATGGAGACTAGTGAAGTGTTGGGACCAACTGGGCATTGGGTGACCCCAGGAGGCCCTGTCTGAGGGGATGGTCTTTTAACTGAGATAAGAAGATAAGCAGATAAGAGAGAAAGAAGGGGGAGGGTGTTCTGGGCAGTGGTAAGAGTATATGCAAAGGCCTCCAGGTGAGAGGGCCTTGGCCTGTTCCTGGACGGTCTGACAGCTGGTGGCAGGTGCAGAGGATGGAGTGAAAAGCTGGCAAGGCTGGCAATGCAGAGAGATGGTGGGAGTGGCCTGGGTGGCAGGAAGGAGGGCATTTTCAGGGCAGTCCGGCAGGGGTTCTTCTGGAACATGTCAGCCCCACGTCTGTGTGTGCAGCATCAGGATGGAGACAGCCACGTGCATATTTAGAAAAATGAGTGTGAGGTCACAGACGTCAAGGCTGGAGCCTGGAATAGGGAGCAGTCAGCTTAAAGCTATGGAGGGGCTGGCCTAGACCCGGGCGAGGTGGCCCCAACAGACATGGCACGTGGCCACTGTGCCAGGCACCAGCCTCTTGAGGACTGAGTTTGAGTATATAGGCTAGCAGGGACACTCCACAGCTCCCATGTGCACTGCCAGCTGGTCCCCAGCTGTACCTTGCTCCCTCCACCAATGCCTGCTTAAGAAATAAATGCTCATGGATGGGCACGGTGGCTCATGCCTGTAGTCCCAGCACTTTGGGAGGCTGAGGCGGGTAGATCATGAGGTCAGGAGTTCCAGACCAGTCTGACCAACATGGCAAAACTCCATCTCTACTAAAAATACAAAAATTAGTGGGCATGGTGGCATCCTGGCTGTAGTCCCAGCTACTCAGGAGGCTGAGGCAGGAATTGCTTGAACCCAGGAGGGGGAGGTTGCAGTGCACCGAGATCACGCCACAGCACTCTAGCCTGGGCGACAGAGCTAGATTCCATCTCAAAAAAAAAGAAAGGAAGACAGAAAGACTCATTCTCATACTAGCCAAAATGGAAAAGATTTTGTTTCCCTACACTGATCCTGGTTCTGGAGATCAGCAGACACTTCAGAGTGAGGATGCATTTGTTGATGGGACCGTTATGGGAGGGAGAGTGAAAGGGATGCGTGTGTGCCCATGGCTGTGAATCTCGGAAGCTGGAAGTGGATCAGGGAGTGTGTAGAGATGAGTGTTCCCGTGTGCAGCGGGGGTGGCTGGGGTGAAGGCAAGGGATGGTGGGGAAGAGTGGTGGGGGAAGGGAGGGAGGAGGGGAACAGGTTGTGTCTGCCACTACCGCGGCTCTGTCTCCTTGGCTGGTGAGCCAGAAAAGAGACCAGAACTTGATTCTGGAACTCGAGACCACATTGGCAAGCGAGGGCAGCCCTGCCACCCAGGACGTCTGTCCTCTGCTAATACAGACTCTCAGTTCAGTCTCTGTCACGACCAACTGGTGTGCATTTTCCCCCAGTGATTTGTCTTGCTAGTGACAGGGTGGGGTTTGGTGGCCACAGATCCCATGATTGCTGGTGTCCTCGGTCCCACAGGAGACACAGCCACCATTTGTAGACTTGGAATCGCTCCATCCTCCCTGCAGTCACTTCTTCACGCACTAGGCCGCAAGTTCTAAGTAAGGGACTGCACCGAATTTGCCTTGATTTCTCCAGAACTGGATACATCATAGGGGCTCAACAAATGTTAGCTGAGTCAAACTGAACTTCCCATCACGCTAGTGTCTCCCAGGCTTTGTCACAGTCACACCAACTTCCCCAGTGGTCAGGAGACTCGCAGAGTGGAGGCAGGAGAGCACCTCCTGTGGGCTAGAGCTTCTTGTTCTGCGTCCTTGGTTTCTCTGTGTTCCAGTTCACCTCTCACAGGCCCTGGGTCTGCAGAGTCACGCTATTGCTTTTTGTTTTGTTTTTTTGAGACAAGGTCTTATTTTGTCACCTAGCCTGGAGTGCAGTGACACAATCACAGCTCACTGCAGCCTCAGCCTTCTGGGCTGAAGCAATTGTTTCACCTCGGCCTCCCAAGTAGCTAGACTACTGCGCCCAGCTAATTTTTTTTTTTGAGACAGAGTCTCGCTCTGTTACCCAGGCTGGAGTACAGTGGTGAAATCTTGGCTCACTGCAACCTCCACTTCCTGAGTTCAAGTGATTCTCCTGCCTCAGGCCCTGAGTAGCTGGGATTACAGGTGAGCGCCACCATGCCCGGCTAATTTTTGTATTTTTAGTACAGACAGGGTTTCACCATATTGGCCAGGCTGGTCTCAAATTCCTGACTTCAAGTGATCCATCCTGGTCTCCTAAAGTGCTGGGATTACAGCCGTGAGCCATCACACTCGGCCAAACCATGCTAGCTTGTCATGAGTCGCTGACATCCACCCCCCCGAACACCCACCCCACACCCGCTTTACCTGCTGGTGGGTTCCCACTGCTTCATGGGGTCGTGGCTGGTGAGGCTCTTCAGGGACTTTGGCCCACTGGCCTCATCACGCTCCGTCTTCACAAAGTCTGGAAGGAAAGAGCCAGGAAAGAGCATGTGAGGGCCCAGCTTCCAGAGCTTAGGCGAGGGATGGCAAAGGGGTTTCCATTTGCAGGCTGATCTGCACGGTGAATAATGGGTACCTGGGGAGGTGGGTTAAGCAAGATTCTGAAGCCTTGTGAGAGTTCAGTGATTGATTAGTTATGCCTGCTGTGGCTTCACAGTGGAGAGCTGGGATCCACAGTTGTCATTTCATGTGACATTTCCAACTTATTGGTCTCAGCAATGTATAAAATAGGCAAATATGTTTTGTCAGATCAAAATAAAACAAACAGGCCAGGTGCAGTGGTGCATGCCTGTAATCCCAGCACTTTGGAAGGCCAAGGCAAGTGGATCACTTGAGATCAGGAGTTTGAGACCAGCCTGGCCAACATAGTGAAACCCCGTCTCTACTAAAATACAAATATTAGCCGGGCATGGTGGCGGGCGCTTATAATCCCAGCTACTCGAGAGGTTGAGGCAGGAGAATCACTTGAACCTAGGAGGAGAGGTTGCAGTGATCTGAGATCATGCCATTGCATTCCAGTCTGGGGCTGCAGAGTGAGACCCTGTCTCCCCCCCCCCGCAAAAAAGAAAAAAATCCAGGCTGGGTGTGGTGGCTGATGCCCGTTATCCCAGCACTTTGGGAGGCTAAGACAGGTGGATCGCTTGAGGTCAGGAGTTCCAGACCAGCCTGGCCAACATGGTGAAACCCTGTCTCTACTAAAAATACAAAAATTAGCCAGGTGTAGTGGTGTGCACCTGTAGTCCCAGCTACTCTGGAGGCTGAGACAGGAGAATCACTTGAACCCTGAAAGTGGAGGCTGCAGTGAGCCGAGATTGTGCCACTGCACTCCAGCCTGGGTGACAGAGTGAGACTGTCTCAAAAAAAAAAAGCAGTTTGAAAGGTACAGAAACCTGGGTGGGCACAATGAGGGCAGGGTTTAGGCACGCACATGGTCTGTTTGTATATGGCAGTGGGCACCATGTGGCTGTCTGAACAAGCAAAGGTCGCCCAAGAAATTCTAAATCTTAACTGCAGCTGAAGCTTTGGACCTCCCGGACAGCCTGGAAGGAGCCATTTAACAAGAGGTAGATTCGCTTAGTGCCCTGGGTCCTTCCTTTGGCGGAGATGTTAATGGGGGAATGACAAAGCATAAAGGCTGACGGTGAGGTTTGGGGCCCTGAAAAATCCACAGGGTCGGGGAGGGTGATCTGGGCATGCTGGGTGTTGGGATCCGTTGGGAAATTTCTGAGTCCAGTGAGGGTCGGGCCAGATTGTCAGATCTTTTCCAGTGCTGGATTTCTGCTCTGAGGCCACAGCAGAGAGACTATTTGATGGCTTTGCTGAGAAAGCACGGTCCTGTCCTTAAGGCAGGGCAGTTGGGGGGGTGCTGAAGAGGGCACTGGGGAGGGGCTCGCTGCTTACCGTAGAGCTTCTCCCTCTTCTTGCCCTGAGAGGTCTGCAGCTTGATCTCGCCCTGGAAGTGGCCTGTCATCTCCCCATGGTGGGTGAGAGGTGTGTAGATGGGCAGCTGTGTTTCTGTGGCCTCTAACCGAAGGGCAATGCAGCCCTCGCCTGTGGGGAAAGCAGGAGACCACCGGGTGAAGTCCCAGCCTTTTCATGGCGGAAACACTAAGCTTTTGGCCTAAGAGCTGGCTCTGTCATCCTGAGATAATCCTTTGAAACTATGGCCCAGGCAAGGGTTATTTAGTGAATTCGTCAGAACAGCAGCGCAGTACTTTGGAGCAAATGTCTCAAGTCTTACAATAAAAGGTGGATTAGTTGATGTAAAAAAATCATGTTGTAGAAAATGCAGCAGAAAGACAGAATTAAACACTTATCTGATCGCTGTAGGGAATGAAAACTTCAAAAGATCTGATGCAGTACAAGACATGACAGAAGAAAACCAGCAGTGAGAGGATGTGCAAGCTTAACCCTTGCACAGGGGAGGCGGCGCCAGGATGGCGGAGAGGAGGCCACACGGGAATGCAGCTCCTAGCAAATGAGACGCAGAGGTCTAGAGGACTTCACCATTCCAAGTGAGGTGTCGGCTTCGTTTCAGGGGACTGGAAGGGCTCTGAAAATAGCCCAGGGAGGGAGCTAAAGCAGGGCAAGAGCTGCTCAGGGAGAAGGAACGGACAGGGCGGGGCACACCCCCACCTGGAACGTGCAGCTGGCTCAGACCGTTGGGGGACTTTACCCACTTGGTCCTCCGATTTGGATCCTGTACTTATCTCATCCCTCCTGCAACCCACGGTCCACGAGAGCCCCACCAGACTGAGGGGCACCACGGGTTGTCAATGCAAATCGGAGTGACGGCTTCTGCGCAAGTTGTTGGTTGGATCTGGGTGGAAGATTGCACTAACGCCAGCAGGACAGAACAACCGTCCCACAGAAAGAGGCAGAGCTGAAAGCAGGTAAGCAGGTCATAAGGCCTGGCAGGCCCCACCCCGACAAAACTCAAACTACAGCCCATGTGCCAGACAGCTTGGCAGCAAATACACCAGTTTGACCCCAACCAGAAAGATCGAGCTCAGGGAAGGAGAGATGCCACTGGAGAGGCAGGTCTCATTTCACCTGCAAACAAACCCCAGGGGAAGATTGCCCACCCAGCAACCTGGCTGAATCTGAGGCAGCCCAGCAGCGCCTCTACAGGCCAAAAAAGATATAGCTCCAACTGCAACAGAAAGGATGTCTACTCAGAGATTCCTCCTGAAATCACCAACTTCAAAGATCAAAGGGAGATAAATCCACGAAGATGGGAAAAAAACAGTGCAGAAAGGACGAAACCTTCAAAGATCAGAACGTCTCTTCCCCTCCCAGAGATCAACTCCTCATCATCAAGGGAACAAAACAAGACAGAAAATGAGTTTGATGAATTGACAGAAGCAGGCTTCAGAAGGTGGATAATAACAAACTTCTCTGAGTTAAAAGACCATGGTCTAATCCAATGCAAAGAAACTAAGAACTCTGAAAAAAGTTTAGACAAAATGCCAACTAGAATAACCAGCTTAGAGAAGAACATAAATGACTTGATGGAACTGAAAAACACAGCAAGAGAACTTCATGAGGCATGCACAAGTTTCAACAGCTGAATCAATCAAGCAGAAGAAAGGATATCAGAGATAGAAGATCAAATCAATGAACTAAAACAAGAAGGCAAGATTAGAGAAAAAAGAGTGAAAAAAAAGAACAAAGTCTACAAGAACTATGGGATTATGTGAAAAGACCTAATCTATGCTTGATGAGTGTACCTGAATGTGACAGGGAGAATGAATCCAAGTTGGAAAACACTCTTCAGGATATTATCCAAGAGGATGTCCCCAATCTAACAAGGCAGGCCAACATTCAAATCCAGGAAAATACACAGAACACCATAAAGATATTCTTCAAGAAGAGCAACCCCAAGGCACATAATCCTCGGATTCACCAGGGTTGAAATAAAGGAAAAAATCCTAAGGGCAGCCAGAGAGAAAGGTCGAGTCACCCACAAAGGAAAGACCATCAGACTCACAGTGGATCTCTCAGCAGAAACTCTACAAGTTGGAAAGGAGTGGGGGCCAATATTCAACATCCTTAAAGAAAAGAACTTTCAACTCAGAATTTCATGTCTGGCCAAACTAAGCTTCATAAGCGAAGGAGAAATAAAATCCTTTACAGACAAGCAATTGCTGAGAGATTTCATGGCTACAAGACTGCCTTACAAGAACTCCTGAAGGAAATACTAAACATGGAAAGGAACAACCAGTAACAACCACTGCAAAAACATACCAAATGGTAAAGAACAACAACACAATGAAGAAACCGCATCAACTAATGGTCAAAACAACCAGCCAGTAACAAAATGGCAGGATCAAATTCAAACATAACAATATTAACATTGAATGTAAATGGCCTAAATGCCCCAATCAAAAGACACAGACTGGCACACTGGATAAAAAGTCAAGACCCAGAAGTGTGCTGTATTCAGGAGACCCATCTTACGTGCAAAGACTCACATAGACTCAAAATAAAGGGATGGAAGAAGATCTACCAAGAAAATGGAAAGCAAAAAAAAAAAAAAAAAAAAAAGGCAGGGGTAGCAATCCTAGTCTCTGATAAAATAGACTTTAAGCCAACAAAGATCAAAAGAGACAAAGAAGGAAGGGCATTACATAATGGTAAAAGGATCAATGCAACAAGAAGAGCTAACTATCCTAAATATATATGCACCCAATGCAGGAGCACCCAGATACATAAAGCAGTTCTTAATGACCTACAAAGAGACTTAGACTCCTGCACCATAATAGTGGGAGACTTTAACACTCCACTGACAATATTGGTCAGAACAATGAGACAGAACGTCAACAAGGATATCCAGGACTTGAACGCAAATCTAGACCAAGCAGACCTAATAGACCAAATCCATAGAATATACATTCCTCTCAGCACCACATCACACTTACTCTAAAATTGACCACATAATTGGAAGTAAATCACTACTCAGCATATGCAAAAGAACAGAAATCCTAACAGTCTCTCAGACCACAGTGCAATCAAATTAGAACTAAAGATTAAGAAAAGCACTCAAAACTGCACAATCACATGGAAACTGAACAACTTGCTCCTGCATGATGAATGGATAAACAATGAAATGAAGGCAGAAATAAAAATGTTCTTGGAAACCAATGAGAATGAAGACACAATGTACTAGAATCTACGAGACACATTTAAAGCAGTGTCTAGAGGAAAATTTATAACAAGAAATGCCCACATGAGAAATAAGGAAAGATCTAAAATTGACACCCTATCATCAAAATTGAAAGAGCTAGAGGAGCAAGATTGAAAAAACTCAAAAGCAAACAGAAGACAGAAAATAATTAAGATCAGAACAGAACTGAAGGAGATGGAGACACAAAAATTCCTTCAAAAAATAAATCCAGGAGCTGTTTTTTGAAAAGATCAACAAAATAGACAGACCACTAGCTAGACTAATAAAAAAGAAAAAAGAATTGAGTAGATGCAACAAAAAAAATGATTAAGGGGAGATCACTACCGATTCCTCAGAAATAAAAACTACCATCAGAGATTACTATAAACAGTTCTATGCACATAAACCAGTAAATCTGGAAGAAATGGATAAATTCCTGGACACTTGCACACTCCCAAGACTAAGCCAGGAAGAAGTTGAAACCCTGAATAGACCAATAACAAGGTCTGAAGTCAAGACAGCAATTAATAGCCTACCAACCAAAAAATGTCCAGGTCCAGATGGGTTCACAGCCAAATTCTATCAGATGTACAAAGAAGAGCTGGTTCCATTCCTGTTGAAACTATTCTAAACAATACAAAAAAGAGGGAATCCTCCCTAACTCTTTCCATGAGACCAATATCATCCTGATACCAAAACCTGGCAGAGGTACAACTAAAAAAGAAAACTACAGGCCAATATCCATGATGAACACTGATGCAAAAATCTTCAATAAAATACTGGCAACAGCACATCAAAAAGCTTATCCACCAGGATCAAGTAGGCTTCATCCTGGGGATGCAACGCTGGTTCAACATATGCAAATCTATAAATGTAATCCACCACATAAGCAGAACCAAAGACAAAAACCACATGATTATCTCAATAGATGCTGAGAAGGCCTTTGACAAAATCCAACAGCCCTTTATGCTAAAAACTCTCAATAAACTAGGTATAGATGGAATGTATCTCAAAATAATAAAAGCTATTTATGACAAACCCACAGCCAATATTATACTAAACGGGCAAAAACTAGAAGCATTCCCTTTAAAGACTGGTATTAGACAAGGATGTCCTCTCTCACCACTCCTATTCATTATAGTATTGAAAGTTCTAGCCAGAGTAATTAGGCAAGAAAAAGAAATAAAGCGCATTCAGTTAGGAAAAGAAGAAGTCAAATTGTCCCTATTTGCAGACGACATGATTGTATATTTAGAAGACCCCATCATCTTAGCCCCAAACCTCCTTAAGCTGATAAGCAACTTCAGTAAAGTCTCAGGATATAAAATCAGTGTGCAGAAATCACAAGCATTCCTATACACCAAAAACAGACAAACAGAGAGCCAAATCATGAGCAAACTCCCATTTACAATTGCTACAAAGAGAATAAAATACCTAGGAATACAACTGACAAAGGATGTAAAAGATCTCTCCAAGGAGAACTACAAACCACTGCTCAAGGAAATAAGAGAGGACACAAACAGATGGAAAAACATTCCATGCTCATGGTTAGGAAGAATCAATATTGTGAAAATGGCCATACTGCCCAAAGTAATTTATAGATTCAATGCTATTTCCATCAAGCTACCATTGACCTCCTTAACAGAACTGGAAAAAACCACTTTAAACTTCATATGGAATCAAGAAAGAACCAGCATAGCCAAGACAATCCTAAGCAAAAAGAACAAAGCTGGAGGCATTACGCTACCTGACTTCAAACTATACTACAAGACTACAGTAATCAAAACAGCATGTTACTGGTACCAAAACAGAGCTATAGACCAATGGAATAGAACAGAGGCCTCGGAAGCAATGTCACACATCTACAACCATCTGATCTTTGACAAACTGTACAAAAACAAGCAATGGGGAAAAGATTCCCTGTTTAATAAATGGTGTTGGGAAAACTGGCTAGCTGTATGCAGGAAGCTGAAACTAGACCTCTTCCTTACACCTAATACAAAAATTAACTCCAGATGGATTAAAGATTTAAACTAGGAACTAACACCACAAAAACCCTTGAAGAAAATCTAGGCAACACCATCCAGGACATAGGCACAGGCAAGGACTTCATGACTAAAACACCAAAAGCATTCACAACAAAAGTCAAAATAGACAAACAGGATCTAATTAAACTTAAGAGCTTTTGCACAGCAAAAGAAACAATCATTAGAGTGAACCAGCAACCAACAGAATGGGAAAAAATTTTTGTAATCTATCCCTCTGACAAAGGACTAATATCCAGAATCTACAAAGAACTAAAACAGATTTACAAGAAAAAAATAAGCCCATTCAAAAGTGGGCAAAGGATATGAACAGACACTTTTCAAAAGGAGACATACATGTGGCCAACAAACATATGAAAAAATGCTCATTATCACTGGTCATTAGAGAAATGCAAATCAAAACCACATTGAGATACCATCTCACGTCGGTTAGAATGGTGATCACTAAAAAATCTGAAGACAACAGATGCTGGAGAGGATGTGGAGAAAAAGGAACACTTTTACACTGCTGGTGGGAGTGTAAATTAGTTCAACCATTATGGAAGACAGTGTGGTGATTCCTCAAGGATCTAGAAATAGAAATTCCATTTGACCCAGCAATTCCATTACTGGGTATATACCCAAAGGATTATAAATTACTCTATTATAAAGACACATGCACATATATATTAATTACGGCACTGTTTACCATAGTAAAGACCTGGAACCAACCCAAATGCCCATCAATGATAGACTGGTCAAAGAAAATGTGGCACATATACACCATGGAATACTATACAGCCATAAAAAACGATCAATTCATGTCCTTTGTAGAGACATGGGTGAATCTAGAAACCATCATTCTCAGTAAACAGACACAAGAACAGAAAATCAAACACTGCATGTCTATAGGCAGGCGACGAACAATGAGAACACTTGGTCACAGGGAAGAGAACAACACTCACTGGGCTAGGTGTGGGGAGGGGAGAGAAAGCAGGGTTGGAGGGCGGGTTGGGAGGATGGGGAGGGATAACACCAGGAGAAATGCCTGATGTAGGCAGTGGGGCAGGGGAGTGGGGGGATGGAGACGGTAAACCACCATGGCATGTATGTACCTATGCAACAATCCTGCAGGATGCAGGGTGTGCACATGTACACCAGAGCCCAAAATACAATTAAGAAAAAAAAACTTGCACACAGGGAAAAATCCTAAAATAAAAAGGAAATGGATTGGGAACAGTGTGTGCAGCCAGCTCCCAAGGCAAGAGGGCACTCGATCTGAACTGCACAGCGAACTCCTCAAAATCAAATCTCTAGCAGACACATGCACAGATAATACAGACAGACATTTCACACAAAAAGAATTGCAGCTGGTTAATTTTAGTAAATGGAAATGAGTTCCACCTTCCTAGCCATCCAAAAGGCAAATTGAGGAATCACTGATTTGCTCTTTCACAGACATGAAGTTAGCATAGATAGGAAGGGAGAAAAATTACACCAAGTACACCCATTACAGGCGGCTCATGCCTGTAATTCCAGCACTTTGGGAGGCCAAGGTAGGCTGCTCACTTGAGGTCAGGAGTTCTAGACCAGCCTGGCCAACATGGTGAAACCCCATCTTTACTAAAAATTACAAAATTTAGCGAGGCGTGGTGGTGCCTGCCTGTAATCTCAGCTACTAGGGAGGCTGAGGCACAAGAATCTCTTGAACCCGGGAAGCAGAGGTTGCAGTGAGCCACGATCGTGCCACTGCACTCCAGACTCCAAAAACAAAAAACAAAAGCACCCAATGCCAGCAAGGATCTGGGGAAACCTATCCATGGTGAGGTTGGCTGAGACAGCCTTTACGGCAATCAGTTTGGTGTCAAGTGCCAAGAAGCACAAACACTGATCGACACACCCTGACCCAGCAAACATGGGAACCTGTCCTAAAGAGATTACTCAAAAGAATAAAAAATGTAGCTGAGGAATAATAAAAATGTCCACAAAGGGATTCATCTCAGCGTTACTGAGAGCACCAACAAAAACAACTGACAGAGCCTCAGGTGCTTTTCAAATGAGGGATCCTTTTCAAATGAGGATGCGGCAAATCCATGGAATATTATGCAGCCATCAAAAGGAGCGGTCACAAAGAAGGGGCAGGAGGAACCATGGAAAATGTGTTTCATCTAACACCAGATGAGGAAAGCAGAGTATAAAATGATGTTTCTGTGATAAGTATGAAAATCTAGGTATGCCTATGCATGAGGCTGGAAATGTGAAGCCAAAATAAAAATGACTGCTGGAATGACACTGTCTGTTGCCTTTTTTCCTTTTCATTATGATGATATGCTGTTCGTGAGTATGAATATGAAGAGAAAGAAACAAAGGAGGATTACAGTATTTTATTTTTAGAGAACGGGGTCTTGCTCTGTCGCAGGAATATGGGATTTGAATGAGAAAATGAAGCACCTGTTCTGTATACTGCCTGCTTCCTGCCACCAGAGCTTCAGACATTTCTGCAGTCACTCATGCTCCTGCATGAGTGACGAGGGGATTCCTATCAGGGCCATCACACTCCTCAGGCTCTGCGCACCCCTCCTCTGGCTTGGGGACCCTCTTGCCAGTGCTGCACTGGGAGGGGGAGGAGCTGCCTGGGCCCTGGTCCAAGATCGTGTAGTTACCTCAACAAGCCGCTCAGTAGCTGTGTGACCTGCAGGTCTCCCAGCCTCCTTTCCTCGCCTCCCCAAGGAGGGTAGCAACAGTGCCCACAGCCAGGTTTTGGCAGAGCCTGCACAGTGGGTGATGGTGCTCCGGGCCGTCCTTTGTGTCTGCAGCCTCTTCCCCTTTCGTGGCTTCCACCCAGCAGCATTCAAAGCTCTTCCATTTCAAACAAACAAGCAAGTGGACAAATGTGCTCCCTTGACCCGGGCGCAGTCTCCTCTGCCTCCTCAAGCCCTGTTCACTCCTAACTGCTGAGGTCTGATGTCACCCCGGCCCTTCCATGGACACTGCTCTCACCAAATCTGCGGATGGCCGGAGTCACTCCATCGAAGGGATGCTCAGTGTTTGTGTTGGGTCCCTTGGCCATAGTTGCTATTGTAACCACACCCTCTTCTTGACCCAACTCTTCTGACGGTGTCCCCAGCACCACAGCATTCTGGTCTTCCCTCGTACTCTGTGGCTGTGGCTTGGCCTCCCTTACCCGCGGCACTACACCTAACCCAGTGCAGGAAGTAAAAGGATCATTCACGCAGCTGCTCAGACCCTGATACGGTTTGCCTGTGTCCCCACCCAAATCTCTTCTTGAATTGTAGTTCCCATAATCCCTATGTGTCATGGGAGGGACCAAGTGGAGATAATTGAATCATGGGGGCAGTGTCCCCCATCCTTTTCTCAATAGTGATGGTGAGAGTGAGAGTTCTCAAGAGATCTGATGGTTTTATAAGGAGCTTCCCCCATCAATGGGCACCCACTTCTCCTTCCTGCCATCATGTGAAGAAGGATATGTTTGCTTCCCCTTCTGCCATGACTGTAAGTTTCCTGAGGCCTCCCCAGCCCTGTAGAACTGTGAGTCAATTGCACCTCCTTCCTTTATAAATTACCCAGTCTTGGGTGTGTGCTCATAGCAGTGTGAGAACAGACGAATACAGACCCTTTCTCCAATCACATGCCAGAGAGTGTTCTACTCCATTCCCTTCAATGTTATCCTCTTCTCTCCTTTTTCACAGTCACTGCTTCTATTCTGGATCGCTCATCATGATCACTGCAGATGCAGACTTCCAAGATGTGAATCGGATCCTGTTCCTTCCTTGCTTGAATCTTTAATGACTCCCTACTGCTCTCGAGGTAAGGTATTTGCTCTTAGCTTGGCTTGTAAGGAGAGGCTTGGTCTGGCTCCTGCCTCTGGCCTCTCTCTGACCCCTCCAGGCTCTCTCTGCCTCTCTCACCCCATGGTCTAGCCCCACGTGGTCTAGCAAGGGTGAGCCTGACTTTGGGCTGGAGCCACAAACAGGCGGAGATGATTCAAAAGACCCTGGTGTCTCTCTGGCCACAGGTCCCCACAGCCTTCCCGGTCTGGGCACTGGGTGACGCTGAGCAGAAGACCAGAGAGCCTTGGGCTGGCGTTTCCAGCACCCCAAGTCCTACCCAGGGCACCCTGCACCACACCTCAGCCCAAATCTCTCTGGCTTGGGGGAGGGGGGTCTTCATGCAGAGCGTGGCCACTTGAGGGCAGAAGCAGCAGCCCCTTTGTGCCTGAGAAGGTGTTTCAGAGTCTGGGTCAGCAGAGGGGAGTCTGCAGCTCCAGACCTGTGAGCTGAGGAGGCTGACTCAGGACACATGAGAAGCAGAGAAGGGCAGGCAGACCTGGGTTCAAATCAGGGCACAGCCACCACTCCCTGTGTGACTTGGGCAAGTCACTTGACCTTTCTGAGACTCCATTTACTTATTGGAGAACAGGGAAGGCTCAATACATGGAAGGGGTTGCCACTGCTGGCTGTTCTGCCCAGAAGCCTGGTGGGGAGGGAAGGATGACTTAGTGGTGGTGACAGTCCCACTCGCAGCCCTGGTTTGAGGAAAGGAGAGGCAGGAGCCTATGACCAGAAGTGCCAGGCGGGCTCTCCCTGAAGATGATGCTACATCAGAGGCCGCCAGCTCACAGGCAGGTGTGGCACCTGTCCACAGACGCTTACCATAGGATTCATCGCTGTCAGAGGACTTGATGCTGATAAGGATGTGCTGGTCCAGCAGGTACTCAGGGTCAGAGATAATGGGCTTCAGCTGCAGAGAGAAGGACACAGGACTGGAGTTGACAGGAAAGGGACAAGTGAGGGGACAGGTGGTGGACAGGTTGATGAGGATGATGGAAGGTGTTCTTAGTGATCAGATCCAAATCTCTGCTGTCCACACCCAAGAGAGCAGGGGGCGGGGCTCGCTTTCCCATATACCCTGTTGGGCAAGGTGGGGGTTAGCTTCCTTCCCTGCATCCCAGGCCTCCTAAACTGACCTGGCTCCCAAGTCCCAGCAAGAAGGGTGACCCCCAAATGGGCCCCATCCATTGCCCCACTTCCTTCCTGTGCCTATGCCAGGGTCATGGAGAAGGAGGCAGGCTGATGGGGAAGTGGAGCCAGGCACCAGGTCCAGAATGGCCTCTGCACTCCACCCTGTGCCAGGCTCCCCCCACAGAGCACAGACCTTCTCCTTGGCCTCCTCCAGGACTGTGGCTGCATCCAAGGCAGCACCCAGACCTATCCCTCTCAGGGGAGGATGCAGCCTCTGTGTCCATCCTGGCAGAGATCCCAACTGGGCCTGAGTATCCTACAGATTGTTGGGGGTGTGGTTTGGCAAACGACAGATACAGACTCCCACATTCCTGGATAACATTTTTAAGCCCCAGGAGTTGGCTGGGAACTGCCAACTCCTCCAGAGGCCCTGCTGGCCTGGCCGGGGTGTGGGGGTGCTGGTAACAGGCTTTGAACAGAGCTGGGGGAGGCTCGGACCTCACCAGTGGAGGCTGTGTCCGGGCAAGCACAGGGAGGAGCATCACACGCTCACCAGCTCCTCATCCACCATGAGTTATGGCTTTTTGAGATGTGGGGCTTTTCCTCACAATGACTCCCATACAGGAGGGCCAAATAAAAAGGCGACACTCTGCTCTAGGCAGTTCCCTCCCTTCCCTTCCAGACACCAAAAGGCTCCTGGCGCAGGGCTCTGGGCACCATGTTGACCAACAGGACAGACTCATTACATCTCCATTCAGAAAGTTCCAGGCCGGGCATGGTGGGTCACGCCTATAATCTCAGCACTTTGGGAGGCTAAGGCAGGTGGATCACTTGAGGTCAGGAGTTTGAGACCAGCCTGGCCAACGTGGTGAAACCCCATCTCTACCAAAAAAATGCAAAAATTAGTGGGGTGTGGTGGTGAGTGCCTGCAATCCCAGCTACTCAGGAGGCTGAGGCAGTAGAATCGCTTGAACCCAGGACGTGGAGGTTGGAGTGAGCTGAGATCTCACCACGGTACTCCAGCCTGGGCAACAGAGCAAGACTCAGTCTCAAAAAAAAGTTCCACAACAGATGACTGGAGGTTGCAGTGGCGCTCTAGGCATTCCCGGATTCTAGGTCATCTCTTGGCTTCTGGCACGAGGGGATGTCTGGCTCTAAGTTAGACCCAGGGCCAGGGCTGAGGCCTCAGGTGCAGGAGGAAGACCCGGTCCTCTCTGGGATGCAGGGGGAGTGGGGTGACAGACATCTGCACAATGAACGTCTCTGTGGGACCCCACCACCCTGCAGGGGGTGGCAGGGAGCAGGACTATCTCAAAGCCACAGCAGGGATTTACAGGGTGAAGAGAGGAGGCCTCCAGGCAACAGGGGTGGGGCGGGGGTCAGCGAGCAGGAGGCAGCGAAGGCCCCCGCAGTCCTGTGGGAGCAGCAGGTGAGGCTGTTTGCCCTGCTGGGCACCAGGGAATTGACTGGATAAAGAGGGGGACACCAGGATCAGACAAGCACTCCAGAAAGATCCATCAGGGTGTAGGATGCCTTAGGAAGAGGCAGGAGACAGGAGGGGTGGAGCCCCCTGGGAGGGGGCAAGGGGATGGAGGGAGGGGACAGCAACAAGAGAAACAGCAGGACTTGGTGGCTTCGAGGATGTGGGGAGTGGAAGAAGACAGGGTGCCCTAGGGGGTCCCTGAGCTGGACCAGGGGGTGAATGTGTTGGGAAAGGGGGTGCTGGTCTCTTTTCCAACATCACCAAAGGAGGAAACAACTGTTTCCCTGGAAGCAGCCGGGTAGGAGGAGCAGGAGGGCAGGCTTGGGCTGGGTGAGGCTGAAATATCTCCTTGAAGTTCAGAGCCACCATGACCCAGGGGCCTGAAGACATCCCCAGATCAGGGACTTCTGACAGCTCTAACCGGGCCTCTGCGGGAGACCCCAGTCAGCCATGTGAACCGGCTGGCTGCAGCCTCTAAGTAATCTGGAACTGTGGTCCAGCTGGGGGAATCTTGAGTTCAGGCATCAGCCTCTGCTCCTGAAATGGGGCCTTTTTTTTTTAAGCAGAGTTTTGCTCTTGTTGCCCTGGAGTGCAATGGCGCGATCTTGGCTCACCGCAACCTTCACCTCCCGGGTTCAAGTGATTCTCCTGCCTCAGCCTCCTGAGTTGCTGGGATTATAGGCATGTGTCACCATGCCCAGCTAATTTCTGTATTTTTAGTAGAGATGGGGTTTCTCCATGTTGGTCAGGCTGGCCTTGAACTCCCGACCTGAGTTGATTTGCCCGCCTCAGCCTCCCAAAGGGCTGGGATGACAGGTGTGAGCCACCCTGCCTGGCTGATAGGGCCTTTTTACATGGCCTGAGAGTTGGTTCCAATCAAAGGTTAATGTCAATGTGGGTCCAGCCCCCTGAAACCTGCCTACATCCCACTCCAGTCTCAGGAGATGATGGGTCCCTCCCCCTGTTTAAGACTGTCCTTTAACAGTCTTTAACAAGTGTCACCTCCAAGGGCAGCCCCCAAGACACCCCACCTGCTGTGATGGATTCTGCCTGGCCCGGGATTCCTCTTCATTCCACCCCTCCCTAGTGGTGTGAGAAAGAAACTCCACTTCCTATCCAGCGTGAACAACTAATGAGCTCCTAATAAGCTTGTACTCAACGACAGCCAACACCTCCACTGTCAATTTAGCATCACTAAAGCAATTTCAGTAGAAAAACATTAATAGAGACAGGGTCTCACTGCATCACCCAGGCTGGAGTGCAGTGGCATGATCACAGCTTACTCAGCCTGGGTCCCCTAGGCTCAGGTTACCCTCCCGCCTCAGCCTCCAGCGCAGCTACAGGCACGCACCATCATGTCTGGCTAATTAAAAAACACAAATGTTTTAGGCTGGGTGCAGTGGCTCACGCCTGTAATCCCAGCACTTTGGGAGGTCAAGACCAGTGGATCACTTGAGGTCAGGAGCTTGAGACCAGCGTGGTCAACATGAGGAACCCTGTCTCTACTAAAAAATACAAAAATTAGCTGGGTGTAGTGGTGCACACCTGTAGTGCAAGCTACTTGGAAGGCTGAGGCAGGAGAATCGCTTGAACCTGGGAGGTCAAGGTTGCAGTGAGCCAAGATGGTGCCACTGCACTCCAGCCTGGGTGACAGGGCAAGACTCGGTCTCAAAAAAAAAAAAAAATGGAGAAAAAAAATTAAAAATTTTTTTTTGTAGAGATGGGGTATCATTATGTTTCCCGGGCTGGTCTTGAACTTCTGGGCTCAAGCAATCCCCCTGATTTGGCTTCCCAAAGTGCTGGGATTACCTGTGTGAGCCACCACATCAGGCTAGAAAACCATTTTTCTACAGCAAAGAAGAATGTGTTCCCACTAAGGTTTGGTTGAGTGATTTCTTCTTTCTTTCCTTTTTTGAGACAGAGTTTCATTCTGTTGCCCAGGCTAGAGTGCAGTGGCATGACCTTGGCTCACTGAAACCTCTGCCTCCCAGGTTCAAGTGATCCTCCTGCCTCAGCCCCCCTAGTAGCTGGGATTACAGGCGTGCGCCACCATGCTCAGCTAATTTTTGTATTTATAGTAGAGACAGGGTTTCACCATGTTGGCCAGGCTGATCTTGAACTCCTTGCCTCCTTACCTCTGGTGATCCACCTGCCTCAGCCTCCCAAAGTGCTGGGATTACAGGCGTGAGCCACCAAGCCCAGCCTGGCTGAGTGTTCCTCAATTCCACCCTCTGCTCTTGCAGGGCCACAGACATGTCAAGTACTTCCTGTGTTCACAAGTGTATGATTAGGAGCCAATGGCCTCCTTGCTATGCCCCTCTGTACTCAATCCTATGAGCCAACGCTGAATAGGAAAACAAGCACCACAGGGAGAACTGGCATCTTGGGGTTGTATCCTCGGTGTGTTACCGCAGCCATGAGGCCACGAGCAACGAGCTCGCGGCCCTACACCTGAGTTTCTTTCTTTGCAAAATCACGTGGTCAGACGAACTGACCTCTAGGTCCCTTCTGTGATCCTTTAGGGGAACGGAAAGCATGTAGGAAGAACGAGGCCACATACCCACTGCTGCAAAGCACGGCATGAACCACCTCGAGCGAGAGCTTGCTCCTGGAGCGGCCTCTTCTGCATTTGGTCTATGAGATTCCTGCTCCCCCTGGTCAGGCCTGGCAGGGCTCTGCCACTGGCCTAGCAAACGCAACCCTCCCCCTGGGGAATGCCTTGCTCTAGAATTACCTTGGGAAGGGTCTCACCAAACTTCACCAGCAGCTCCCCCTCACTTCCTTCTTCATTTTCTCCTTCCTGACTCTTGACAAAACCTGTCGAAAGACAAGAAGGCTGGTTTTCAGAAAACAGAGCAAGAATCAGACAGAAAAGACTCCCTGGGCCACCCCACCCAGACCGAGGAAGATGCGCTGTCTCCTTTTTTTTTTTAATCTCGTGGCCTCAGCCTCATTTAGGAGTCAGGCCTGCTGGGGATTCTGTTTTTGTGCAGGGATTGGTCATTTGCCAACATGGTCTAATTATATTTAGGAAAATCAGAGAGGTTCCCCCTCCTTTTCAGTTCCTCTTTGCAACAAACCAGGCAACAAAGAAATCATCACATCATAGGAAAAAAGATTAGGAGACTTGACAGCTCGGCCCACGCCACTCAAGATAGCAGCCTTTTGAAATTCTAATTTAAGCCTCCTAATATGCTGTTTCCATAGAAATGCATGCAAGTGTCTTGATAGTTTATTAAAAACGCCCGCACAAAATTCCTCGTCATTTTTCGAACCGCTTTGACCCTGCTGGGTGAACTGGGGCTTGGGGACTCAGTGGCCAAGGCTGCTCTAGCACCACGCCTGGGCCTAGCTGAGCTGGAGAAGGAAGCAGGGCCCAGAGGGGCAGCATTGGCAGCACATGCTTCTTCCTGATTTCTGGAAGCATCCCGGCCAGGGCCTCACAAAATGCCCTTTTGTGGAGTTGACCCCCACTTTTCCTCCCCCCCACCACTCTGCAGACCGTCTTAGGGAAGAGGGCTGGATACATGCAGCTCTTGCCTGGTGTGAGACAGCTTTAGACAGTATGCCCAGGAAAGTCACCCGGAAGGGGTGATTCTTAAGCATAGTTTGAACTCAATGTTGCTGGCTCAGGGAAGCCTGTCCATCTCCTGCTTGCTTTTGGGCACTGCAGATCCCCGAGAAAGACGCCGTGATCTCAAAAGAGTAAGAGGGGTCAGGGTGACAGCAGGCGGCTGCTGCTCTTTGACGTCTGGACCTGGGCCCAACACTCTCTGGTTGAGTCAGAGCCCCAGGGAACCTCTAGTGGGTCACAGTCCGCCCTGAGGGGCAGAATGGGAGCCCACCTGCCACCTACAAGGGACTAAGGGGTCAGTACATTCATGGCTGCCCCTGCCCCTTGGCTGCCCAGGCCACAGGGACCCCTCCCAGTAACTGAGTGCCCCCTTGAGCCATCCACCTACAGCCCCACTTCTCTGCCCCCCTCCATGAGTCCTTTCCAGGGAGAGGAGAAATGGAGCAAAGTGACAGGTAGGAAAGGTGTTTATAAGAGGGCTCCGGCCGGCTCTGCCCAGAAGGCGGCAGAGCAGCCACTCACTCTCCAGGCAGCTGGAGTGGAACTCCAGGTAGAATTTGGTCTGGGACTTGGTCTTCAATGTGGCGTAGCACCTGAGAAACTCAATCTGCCCCTGGCTGTCGACAGTGCCAGGACCTAGAACAGGGGAGAAGAGAGATTCAGTTCCAGGACATGCCTGGAGATGGAGCGTTTCAAATTAGTTCTCATGCCACACACTGAGCTCCTCCTCAGGGTCCCAGGAAGGTGGGAGTCGAGTGGGAGGAGAAGTAAAGCTACAGCGAAATCCAGCACCCACTGGAGCATCGCCAGCCTCTCTGGTGCATCATGAGCTGGCCTGGGCAGAGCGTGGGGCAGAAAGACGCACAGTCCCTGGAGTCTGGACCTGTCTCAGCTCTGTCACTAAAGCTGCGTGGCCTCAGGCTATACCCCCAGTATTTCAGGCTCCCACCTAGTTCCGGCAAAAGGACTTTGTAGAATGGCTCAGTTGCTCAATACCTAAGTCAATGCTGTTTCTGAGCTCAGCTAGGGAGAGCTAGTTGCTCTTTCTCCCTTAGGCACAGTTATTCCCACTCCTAACTCTGGGCTCTGTAAGCTCATTTTCACAGAGTCAACCTGCCTGCAATTGTGTTAATTTAGATGATGCTTTTGTAAGAAAAACAAGTGTTCTGTCCTTTCATATAAATTTTGAGCCACAGAACAGAGTGATGTTCTGAGAGCATGAACGAATCTTTCCTTCCCTCACATTCTTCCTTCTTTCTCTTTCTAAACCCTGCAGTGCCCTGTCCAGGCTCTGCTTATGTAAATGCCCAATCAACACTGAATCCTGGTGATCAGTGTTTTTGAGCACCTATGGCGTACTGAGTCCCTGTGTAGGGAAGCCCGGCCGGGCACTGAGGATGCACTATCCTGGAACAGAGGAGGAGATGGCAGGGGCAACCCCTTCAAGGCTGCAGGAGCTTAGAGAAAGGGGAGACAGGTGGAAGTCGGGGAAGAGGTCCAGCCTAAGGGCTAGGAAGATTCTAGAAAGGCACAGTGGCCAGACCTAGGAAGGAGACACAATGGTGGGTCAAGGCTTGGCTGAAGAGGGGAGTTCATGTTTCTGGGGCCATGGATGTTAGATGCAATAGGATGGAGAAGAATGTTCCATAAAGACAGTGCTCCGGCCTCACCGGTGACCCCCAAGGAATGCAGGACACAGAGCAAGATGGCCTTTCCCTGTATTTGGGTCCCCTATGCTCGGTCTTCCTAAAGGTGCCTGGTGAACAGTGGGCTGACCACAGAAGCAGAGCCTAGGCAGAGAAAACATGGCTCTCTGGTCCCTTCGGCCAAGGGCTGGATGGACACATTACAGAGAATACCCAGTCCCAGCTGGGACGAGGGTAGCCTGGCCACCAGGGCTGAGCTGGACTATATGAAAAATTACCTGCAAATCTAAATATGATTTACTGTGGTGCTTCCCCAAACTCGGTCATCTGCATCCCATCTTCATGATTTTTACCATCTCTGCACACCACTCACTGTACTACTCTTTACTTAATATTTTCTCTAAATGGACTCACTTTTTTTTTGAGATGGAGTTTTGATCTTGTTGCCCAGGCTGGAGTGCAATGGCACAATCTTGGCTCACCGCAACCTCCGCCTCCTGGGTTCAAGTGATTCTTCTGCCTCAGCCTCCCAAGTAGCTGGAATTACAGGCATGCGTCACCACACCCAGCTACTTTTTTGTATTTTTAGTAGAGATGGAGTTTCTCCATGTTGTTCAGACCAGTCTCGAACTCCTGACCTCAGGTGATCCACCTGCCTCGGCCTCCCAAAGTGCTGGGATTACAGGCATGAGCCACCGCGCCCGGCTGGACTCACTTTTTAAAATTAAATGTACCTGAATAAGGTATATCACAATACTAAATGGAAAAGCAATGTTACTTGCCTTAAACAGAAGACATAAATTTAAAACATGTTAAAATAAAGGCATTACTAATAAATGTTTGCCCGTGTCCCCTGCCCCCTCCTCCTACCCCACCCCGAGAACTGCCTTCGGTGGGAGACAGGCCACACCTTGGTAAACACTGATTTGCCCATTTTTTCACACTAAAACTGAAGCGCAAAAGGCTGACATATTTGCCAAGCAGAGCGAGTACATTCTCTGGACTGAAATGGTGCTGTGGCTGGGACGTGAAGAGACCTGACTGATGGAGCATGACCTGCCCGGGAAAAGGCACCTTCCTCTAATGCAGACCACTGACTGCTACACCGAAGACAAGCGCCCAGCGCCCCTTGCCATGGAGGAAAACAGAGAAATAGACACCATCCTTTGCTTACCATTCTTGGAAACAAACTGGGAAGTGACCCCTGCCTCGAACGTGGCAAAGACAGGGCTGTGGTCACTCGTCATGATGTCGGTGGTACTGCCTGCAGGGAAGGAAAGGCATTTTGAAGCAGGAGAGAAGAAGCCCTTCTGGTCAAGCCAATGACGGCAATCCTAAAGCAGGAAGAAAGTTTAATGATGGAGCCTCCAGAAGTGCAAAGGTTTTACACCTGTTGTCCTGTTGGCCTCCCACAGCAAGGCTTAAAGCGTTCAGTGGAAGACAGTACGTACTCTGCCTCCTTCGTAGATAAAGGAAGCCTGTGCTAGTTTTCCTAAAGACCTATGACTTTTTGAGTGGATTAGGGAGTGTGAAACATGGAGATTGTTCTGGTTTAATCATTTTATTTTTTAATTTTAATTTTAATTTTATTTTTTTGAGGCAGAGTCTTGCTCTGCTGCCCATGCTAGAGTGCAGTGGCACGATCTTGGTTCACTGCAATCTCTATCTCCCAGGCTCAAGCAGTTCTTATGCCTCAGTCTCCCAAGTAGCTGGGATTACAGGTGCATGCCACGGTGACTGGCAAATCTTTGTTTTTTGCAGAGATGAGGTTTTGCCACATTGGCCAGGCTGGTCTCAAACTCCTGAGCTCAGGTGATCCACCCACCCAAAGTACTGGGATTACAGACATGAGCCACCGCCCTGACCCACTTTATTTTATTGATGACAAGCCCCAAACACAGAGTAGGAAGGGGACTTAAGGTCACTCAGCTCATAGGTGGGAGAGACAGGAACACCTTCTCCATCCCATGATGCCTCACAGAACTGGGAGAGAGCAGAGGACGCTTCGTGTAGAAAACTCTGTTAAGGAGCTTGGCTAGGGTGAGAAGGGAGGCAGCAGAGCACTTTGGGAAGGGGCAAGAGAAAGAGGGCAGTTCTAGAAAGGCAGTTCTTTCGAGATAGCCCATTGGAGATGCCTGGCGGGAAATGGGTACTCAGGGCTGGAGATGCATCTTTAGATTTGGAGTCTTGGGATTAGGTGGGAGCAGAACACACGAGCGTGTTTGGGCTTTCATATGAAAGATAAGAAGAGCTGAGGATGGAATTCCAGGGCACACCAACCATGAAAGGGCAGGCAAAGGAAACGCTGTCAGCAAAGGACACCAGGAAGCTGATAACACACACACTTGGTGTGCTTTCCTAGACAGCGCTTACAATCAGCGAGAAAAAGATAAACACCCACCCCTCAACCAACCAAAGAAAATGCACAAAAAATAAAGACGGCTAATAAACATGAAAAGA